TTCTGAAATGAATAAAATAGGCCATGATAATTTTTCAACTAAGAAGCAAATAAACACAACTAACTAACACAAAGCTCTCCTCTGAGGAGTAATAAGGGCTAACAGACTGAGGCAGAGATATGCTCTTTCTGAAATTTTCTCATTGTTGGAAATCCTATAAATAAGCCACCATTTGCCACAATAAAAACCAACATTTCCCTGTTTCTCAGAAAATTTGAAATTTCCTTCCTAAAAGAAGGAAACAACCTGCAGACATGCTTTTAAATGTAGCAACCTAAGGGTTCTTCCTACCTAAACTGGCAGTCTCACACACCTTTTCTAGAAGAGTATTCTTAATAATATCCCTTGACATTTTGCATTTGGAATAATGAAATATGAAGGAAGCTATATAATTCCTTCAGATCAGGAAAGTTTTCCATCGCTTGCATTGTACAAAGTTACTCTCACTGCCAACCAAGTAATATGACAATTAAAATATTCACCATTGTGGAGCATTCAGTGAAATCCATGGGCCACCAGCTAACATTTACATTCAGCCTTTCAAATTAGTGACTTTACCTTCATACGATCCAAGCTCTCATAATCAAAGCCCACTCCATAATTCATAGACTAGTTTGGGTTGGAAAGGATTTCAAAGATCATCTACTTCCAATCTCCCTGCCATAGGCAGGAACATCTTCAATTAGACCAGGCTGCTCAAAGCCTCATCCAATCTGGCCTTGAACACTTCCAGGGATTGGACATCCACAGCTTCCTGGGAAACCTGTTCTGGGGCTCTACCACTCTCACAGTGAGAATTTCTTAGCTCCCATTTCCGTCTCACCATGTGGTCACATGGACTTCAGTGGTTTCAGTAGCTGAGACTTCACCTGAGACAAAGTTACTCCATGATTTTAACTGATGTTTGAAACTGAAACTTCAAAGTGGTTAGAGCTGAAATAAGTAATCCACACACATTCACCTCAAAAACTATAAATAAGTTGTAGTAGGAGGTTCTGTAATATACATATTACTTCATTCCCCAGAAATAGTTGTTTTTTCAGCTGTATCTGGACAGAGAGCATTACCATCATGCAGATATTATTACTGTGTATAAGAATATGGTTTTTCTAAACTCAGACTGGGTTCACAGTGAGTAATAGATTTTAGTTTCTCAGCCACAAATAATTGCACTTCATACTTTCTTTACCCTTCTTGTTCTGGAGGTAATCTGATTTAGTGTGCTTTAAATGAAGGATTCAAAGTAATTTGCAATCTATTTCTGGGCAATTTCCCTTAAAGCACAGTGATAAAAGCTGTGCCATTTGTTAAAAAGGTTTTACTAATGAAAGTAACAGCTGTTGTCACCAGTGTCTCTGGATTATCTCCTCTTAATGAGCTGATTCCAGGTGTCTTGCTTTCTGGAGTGGTTTAAACAATGTAAGTAACCATACTCAGCACACTGTTAAAATTTAGGCAGCTGGCTGTTTGTATAATCATCCTGTTTTTGTGGCAGTTGACCCTTGATCTAGGTCCCACCTAAGCTGCATTTTTTAATGTGATAACATTCCACATGCACAGTAAAAAAAATGCAGTGCATTGCACTGTTTTCTATTTGCTTCTGAACCAGCTCTGCAGTTATTTTATTGCAGCAGGATGTTTATTGCCACAGAAGCCTAAGGGAAAACCACGTAACTGAGCTTCAGTAGGGTAAAAATTGGAAAGCTATGCCTTTTAGCACCACCACCACCAACTTTTGTACAGACAGCCCTGAGGCAGAAAAACTGCCACAGTTTTTAGACTTTAATGAGGCTGCATGTCACCAAATGTATGGGAGACACTTTGTTCAGACAGCTCTGCAAAACAAGGACCTAACGTATGCTCAGAGGGGTAAGGCCTGAAGAATTGCTTTAGAGAAAAATAAAATCTATTCAAGCACAAGCCCTATTTCCGGGCAAGCTTGCTCCATGTTGAAGACCATATATGTTATATTTTGTGTGTGTGTCTTCATAATGAAAGCATCACTTGAAGTACAGTTATTCCTAATGCAATTTGCAGGAAGTTCATCAACAAGATCACAATTTTTACTTTTTATGAACCTTAAGTGTCACTAAATAGGCACAATAATCTATCCCAATTCTGTGTCTCCAACTCTCCTTGTTACATTGAGGTGAATTAATTTGCAAAACACATTCATGAATGTTCAGATGTTCTTCTCTTCAGAACCCTCAACAAATCTTGAGAACCAATCTCCCATTACCTCACTGTATTTGTGTCCTAAACCTCAGAGCAGGACACACCACCAGGTCTGTCTGCATGTGCAGCACTAAACTTGCTCTTCAGTTTCTGTCATGCTCAACCCTCACAAACTCCTTTCATTTTGAGGTTTAGGGATTTTATCTATTTTCTCTATTCCCAATTACCTGTATTACTTATTGTATCTGTCTGTATAAACTCTGGAATGCCCAGAACAAGAATAACCAACTTTTCTGGTGCAGTGAGCTTTCCCCTAAAAATGCTTCAGTGCCACAAGACACAGATGACAAAGCTCTCTTGGGTACAGGGACAAACATCTATAGGAATATGTCCTGGTTGCTTTTCCAGGGTCTCACCATTCCACTTTTAAGTAGGACTGGTCAGGAAGCTCAGAGCAAATAATGATCTCAAAACTGTTGGTGTCACAGTGGATTACAAAATTAAAGTGTATCAAACAACCAGACACCCACAAGCAGCTTGAAGCAGCTAGAAGAACCAAAATTACCACTTGTTGTGGACAGTTTACAGAGAACATCTACTTATGCAGTCCTCAGGCACAGAATGAGACTATTTCTTCACCATTTTTCTATTTTAATTACCTAATTTGTCACTCTTCAATTCCTGGAGCTCTGCACTTCAATGTACAGTAAAGAGTACCAGTATATTATCAAAATTCAGTAAAGTACTTGCAAGTGAAATAATTGTCCCAAACTCACATTTTAACCAAATGATTTTGCATCATTGTACACAGACCCAACTAGATTCACCTAAAAGAGGAAGAGCTAATCATTGCAACAACTACCTTATCACTGCAATTATAGCGAAGATCAGCTTGTTTATCAGGCTGATAAAAAAGGTGATAATGGCTTTTTCCAGTGTGATATATTTATATATGTGTGGCTGGGAAGAACAAGAATTGATTTTTTTAAAAAATTGAAAGAAATTATTTTTATTAAAATAGGTAATTTTCTACCTCTTTAGAAATGAGCACTGAATTGGCAAGATCAAAGAGCATTGGAAAAATAAACAATATTCCTGATGTCTTTTGTAATTAAGCACTGCAATTACTGCAGAAAGTGTACCGCCCCCTTTTAGTTCACCTCTCAGATAAGTGTTTCATAAGAAATAATAGCTCTTGCTGCCCTCCTATAAGTGGTTTTTTAAACACTGCAATGGCTGTGCAATCTAATTGAAAAATACGGGGGGGGTGTGCTGTCATAGATTTTATTTTATTTTTTTTTTAGTCTTGATTTGCTTAATCTGAATTGCTTGGTAACCAGGTTTGGGTTTTTTTAAACGAAGTTTCTGTCATTAAAAACTCGGTTCAAATTGCACTAATATTTTAATGCACTAGGTGGCATAATGATATTCATATTAGAGAAATTAAATGATTCACCACCACACAGATACTTCATTGGATAAAAGAAGACACCCTTTTTGCCAGATAAGAAGTCCTATGATAACTTCTGTATTATAAGATTGCTAATACTTTTAACTCTCTTTTGTGTTCTTTAGAAGAGTACTTCAAATTTTGAAAGAAAAAAACTATTCATATTTGAAGATGATGATTTAAGAATTGAAATACCTTGAATGTAGGGAATTAATTTAAAAATCCTTTAAATCTTGCTCCAAACCTGATTGTGATCAACTTTACTCTGAACAATTTTACTTGGGGCCAACATTAAAGCAGTTCGAAGAAATGTGAGCTTGAGATTGTTGGCTTTCCCTGGGACTCCTGTTCCATCAGCTCTGATATGGGCCACATTAAACACATGTTGACGCTGCCAGGAATTGGACCGGGTGACTTTAATCAATCTTTTTCATTTCTAACTCTATTAACTCCACCATTATAGTGGACATAATGAAAGATCCTTTTAGACTGATTCTGGTGTCAGTCTGAAGCGGCATTATGTCAAAAAAAATTTAAGTCATCTTCATTTACTGTAAACTCAGAGACTTGCTTTTTGCTGCAGGTGTTCTGTCACAGTTTGCTTGAATTTGGGGCAGTAAATTACAAGACACATCAATGTAAAGAGGCAGTGAAATCATTTATCATTAACTTGAAGAGGCCATTATTCAGCTGAGGAAGATGACTGTTTTATGAAATACAAAGGATGAGATCATGATTTAGTGATCAGAAGTGTTTTTTTTTCTTCCAAAACATAGCAGTACATAGTGAATGTGAGAAAGGAAAGAAGCCTAAGAAGTCGATACAATTTTATCTGGATAATGTTTTGATGTTGGCCATCACAGTTAAAAGTGGCTGTTATGAAAGCTGTTACTGATTAGCAGACAGATTTTTTGATTGACTAATGACTATATATGTCCCACTTCTTTCTGTGCAACTACAACTCTCACAAGCTGCAGCACTGCCACAAGCAGGAACCCTATCAGACTATCAGGAAAAGATTTAAAGAAGTGTAAAGCCTTTTGTCTTCAAAGGACAATTTGAAACAGTGGAGTTTCTAAACACTTTAGAGAGTCCAGAAAATATAATGTCTCTAGTTTGTTCTCCTTTTTTGATGGAGTCACTAACATGTTTACCTGTTTTACAAAATTATCCCCACTTATAAAGTTTATTTGTACATGGATAATAGGATAATGCTATTGCTGGGACTAATTTTTTGAAGACTGAAGAAGTGTTCAGCATAGAAAAGGTGAGCATAGTATGGAACACAGTTCCAAATTATCCATTTCTGAAAGACATTAATGACAGGGCTTCTCTATTTTGTGACATGGTCGGTAAGGAATCCTGAAGTGCCTACCTTTTCCAGCTGGTGCATCCCTTCCTCTACACAGCAAACTGAAGCCAGTGTTCTCAGGGTCTGGGGATAAAGGCACCTGAAACAATCCTGGCGACAGATCTTAAAGAGAGCAACGACACCTCCTTCCTGCAGGAGAAAAACAGCAATCAGGAAAGTAGTACTAGAGGTTTCCCTAGTACTCAATCAAGATTGGGATGGGGAACGGATTTCTTTAGTAGTTTATCCAAAATAGCTGTCGTAACCACATCAACAAAGAGGTGCTAAGCTCACACAGAGAACTCAAGTGGATTAATGCTTGTACACTAAGTGATGAAAAAGTAATACAACCTCAGCAGGAGGTGTGCTTAAGTGATTGACTTCTACCAGTTACAAGCTCTATTTAAATTAAACCTGACATTTCTGCAAAAATTACAAAGAACCATCAATAGGTGGCAATTAGAGTGGGATTTAACTGATCCTTCAGCCATGTTATCAGTATAAAATGGGTTTTTGTTACCATGTATTTCCTATTACTCTACATTTCTGAGCTCCACACAAAATTTACTTGATGTTAAAGTTATGAGCAGGAAGGTCATATGTTTGAAGAGGTACTGAAAATAAGGTGGAAATAGGTGTCAAATTCTAAACAGATACAATCCAAATCTTCATTCTCTAATAAATAAAATTTGCATTCCTAAAAGTTTTTTTTTAAATACTACAGTGACAAAGACTTGAGTACCTATTACAGTAGCTATCCTTAATTAATTTCCAGCACAGCCTGTGAAGATATGTTTTAGTAAATTTCAGGTAACAAATGTAAATATATAAATAAATACCAACAATGTAGCACTCTGTGATTGTGTTTTAAAAACTATTTTTCATTTCAAAATATTGTGCTACCTGGTAGACTAGATATGCCTTTTATGATGTAGAATCAGACATATGATGAGGATGAATGATATTAAGAGATTAATGACAGATGAAAGATCTCAGACTAAAGTGTTCAGATTACAGCATTAATTAAAAATAGTTGAAATCATGGAGCAAGTGAAAAGCACACCCTTTTTCTAAGCCTGTTTCAGTACACACTGTTTAAAAGTATTTTTAGATTCACAGAAATAATCTATTTTTTCCTCAACCATTATTTGAAAGCTCCACAGGTTATACTGACTTGAAACCTCTGGGCTACAATTCAGACTTTACTTATTTTCAGAATTCTATATTTTTATACTACTTCTGCTTGAATACAGTAGTGGATAATAGATGAAGCAAAACTTTCTGTTCAGTCTAACAAAAGAATTATACAAAGTCCTATAAAATGAGACAAAATTAACTCTTCAACATATGTTCCAGATAGAAATTTTAGATTATATTTTTGTATAAGTATATGGAATTTCTGTGGCATCAGTTAAAACTATAGGCTCACTTAAGATTGTTAGGAGTAAAACTTATTTCTGGAATTGTAAGAAGTGTTCATGTGTCTGTTATTTTATACCTAGTACTGCTATATATAGCCTAATGCAGAAAGATATTTCTGAGCCTTTAAACTAAAAAAGAGTCAGTACATGAACAAAAAAGTAAAAAAGTTTCAGTCATATTTTTCTCAAAAAAAAAGGATACTGCTCTTTCACCCAGCAGTAATTAAATTATCTGTCAAAAAGAGGAAAAAAGCTATTGCACTGGCATTCCCAAGAAAAAAGTAGCTTTTTTGTGTTTTTTTTTTCAAAAAATACATTATCAGTTTGAATTTTCCCACAGTTCAGTTGAATCAGGTGTGATCTGATCCTCTGCTTTAGCCATAATAAACAGAAGTTTGTGGACAAATTTAGTAATGTTTAAGTGATGTTGGCACATTTGCTTCAAGCCTTTTCTATGCCAAATGCCCTGATTTTGCTTCTGATGGACAGGAAGTGATTTATCACTGCTTTTGTCAGGAGGAGATCTGTACTCTTTATTTTGTGTCTCATGTGCCATTACTAAGCTGTAAAATATTGACCATGAGTAATGAACCAAGAGATCTGTAAGTGAAATATTGGACAGGTGGAAAATACTGAGCCTGATTCCATGGCTCGTCAAAACCAGTGCCCTCACTGGGGTCAGATCATTTCTCAGAGTTTATTCACCTTTCACAAGATTCATCCCCTGGATCTTTTGCAGTGATGCCAAACCATTCCATCTGACAGGGACATACGTAAATTGGTCAAGTGGGTAAACATTCAGAGGAAGAGAGGCACTCTTGCTTTACTGCTTGACAACCCACTTCTCTCCTGTATTGGATTAACAGGAATTCTGTGGAATGCTGTTCAGAAGGGCTAGGTTTAGGTAATGAAATCACCTGAAATACAATATAGTGAATGAAGAGGGGAAGCAAAAAGGCATCTAATTCTAAGGTGGAATATTTTGCAGTTTCAGCCTGAAATGACACAAATTGCAGTAAATTCTCATCAAGGCTTTGACAACATTTATAATTATCTTGACAGATTATCTCCAAAAAGATCTTCATCAAAAATACTTGCTAGAAAAGAAACTGGCATATAAAGAAAATAAGGCAAGGTGCATTAGAATCCTCTTGGAGCAAGTGATCTGCTGTACAGCAATAAGGAATTCAAATAGTCAAGTATTCTCCAAGGGGGCTATTATGAGGTATGAATATCTTCATTTTTGTTCCTTTCTCTTTTACAAGCCTATTATCACAGTGCTCTGCTCAATACAGTTGGTATTGGACTCTATCATCAGTAAAATGAATTCTTTTTAAAAAATACTATTTTCTTTATCACTCTATGACCTATTTATTGTAACTTGTAAACAGATTTTTACCAGTTCTTCTAGGTGTTACAAATCGAAATCTATTTATAACCCGTTTGCTCCAAGTAATGTTGATTTTCTTATCTTGCCTATGCTACTACTCATTTTTGTTAGAGACCTTAGGTTTTATGTCTCTGACAGCTAGTGAGAACTACTACTGGCTTCCAGGGTGATTCAGCAACATGATTTTTTCACAGCAGATTACAAAGTTACATGCTAAAAAAGAAAGTGTTAAAGAATGCCTGTAGGCGGAATAAAATTATGGGTGATGCTCCAGCATAGAGGAGAGTCTTTGATAGACTTTTTAAATTTCTGTAAAATATTAGCAGGGGATGGGGGAGAAGGAGAGAGAAGACTGAAACCCTTACCAAAATGTAAAATGAGAGACCAGCTCCTGTAATATTGTAGCTTTACAACACTATCTTGTTTTTTTTGGGGTTTTTTTTGGCCACATCTGAGATTGGTGTGCTTTAGGGTTGTAACTTATAGCTTGGGACAGGAAAAAACCTAACAGTAGTGTTCCACAAGATCACACTTTGTCATGGAGAGTGAGACTTCAAGGTTACACGGACAAATCTGTTGAATTTTACTTTCACGGTAAACAAATAATCAGGCTAGTTTTATCAAGGATACTATGACAGCTCTTGAGGGAACTATGGATTCTATAAAAGATTTTGAAATCTTTGCATGACTTCAATCCTTTTTCCACCCTTATAATGACTGAGAACAATTTCTAATTTTTTGTTGATTTTCTGTTTTGAAATCCCCCTGAATTTTTTACTGTCATAGTGAACGAAAGCCAGTGCCTGTCTTATTTCTACTTCAGAGATTGTGAAACCTGTCTCAAATGAAACTTGAATTACATCACGAGCAGCATTTCATGTGTTATCTGCTCAAAAACTGGAAATGTGACAAGTCTGCAATCAAGAAATAAAAACGTATTTTATTCATATTGGGAGCTTTTGGAAAGGTGCAAGTTAACCTCCAAAGCAAGCAAGGCTCAGTGCTGTTCAGTTTCTTGTCTGAACAGAGCTCTTCACCCATTTGAAATTCTGGTTTGTTACAGTTCCTCTGCCCCCTTGGTCACTGATGCAGGAAACTGAGGCAGTGCAGAGTGTGAAGGATAATGGTCAGTCTGGACAAATACATTTCCCAGTGCACAGGGCACACAGAGACACAGGACAGGGGATGCAATCACTGCTGTAAATTGGCAGCCAAAGACCACTTAGGGTTCTTTGCATAAGGGGATGCATTTCCTCAGTTGTAAACCTGTGACACGCCCAGGTTTTAGCAATATGTTAGCTTAGTGATTTATGAAAGGTCAGACTTCACTTCTGATAAATTAAACTGTTATGGAAGTTGTAAAATGATAAAAAGCCCAAGACCATTTTTCATTAATTAGTTAATTCTGCACTTCTCCAATACTCAACATTTTACCACTGTTTTTGGGTACCACTGAGTGGAGCTCAAATACCAATTTAGGAAAAAAACAAACCCCTCAGGCTGTTGGCACAATCTACTACAGGTTTCTCAGTCTGGCTCGTTCTCAGCCTTCAGAATAGAGGAGTACCTTTTATGGTGCAAATATCCATCTAAAGGCACACAGAAGTAATTAAATGCTGCTGTCTAACCCTGCCTCTGAGCAGGACAAGGAACTGGCACAGCACTTCACAAGCAGTAGCTGGGGAAGGGAGGTTTTTCCTCTTTCTGCATGCCCTGTGGTTGTGATCATCCTATCTTCAACAAGACACCATGTCCCACCCTTTTCACTTTTTCAAGATCCAAACTCTGCAGGGATTTTCAGTATCATGGATTTTGACAGAATGACTCATTTATACCAAAAGTTAGCACCAACTACTCAGCAAATGAGAACACACACTGACGGAAGTAACTGCAGTGATGGGTCTTCTGTAAAAGGATAATACTGGATGCAAAGTATCTCTAAATTTGTATCTTTAATTATATATATATATATATATATAATTAATACAACAATGTTACATATATATAATATATATAATATATTATATTATATTATATATATATAATTAATATTATCTCTAACCCCCCTGTACACACAGCTGAAGAGGTCTTGCTGTTTCTCTGCACAGTCAGCTACAGCCATGGCCTATTGTGAAGTTTCTCTCCATTTACATGGCTGGTATTTAAAAAGGAGAGACACTAAAATGTTCCCAAAATGATGGAGGGATAATACCTCCAGATAGATGGCGCAAAGACAACTGCAACTGAAGCAATGCTGAGA